AGGCGCAACTCCTGGATGAGTAGACTCTTGAAAGAGTGGTGAGCTTGTGATCATATTAAGATACTCAGATAATGACTGTCGCACTTGAAATATCCGTTTGAGGGGGTGTTGTAAGCCTTGATGTGAGGCTTGATGAATCATTTCGGACCGAGCATGGTTGAAGGGGAATGTTGTTCCAGAGACAAGCGTTAACACTATTCAGATGTGATGTGGCAGACCATCTGGTTATAGTGATCCTTTTGTGTAAAGGTGTGCTTTGGTTACTCTGATGATTGAAAGGTTTGGCGAGTACCTATAAACTTGGTCAAAGATGCTCTCAGAATGGAAAGCTTGGAAGAGCTGCAAGATGCAAGCTTGTGTTGAAGAAGCAAGAGGACAATTGCCCCACATGAATGGTAAAGGGGGTGATTGTTAGGTTGGTTGCCATTTCATGTAAGGCATCAACCATTTACCATTGACTATTGGTAGCCACCATTGTTGAATGAGATAGAGTTGGTGGCCACCATTGTTGAATGAGCTAGAGTTGGTAGCCACCAATGTTGACAACAAACCAAGAAGAGCTTCCATGAATGCCTATAAATAGAGGCATATATGAGAGAGCAAAATGAGAGAGGAAGTAGAGCCAAATATGTGAGAAATGTAGGAGAGAGTGAGCTGCCATTGCAGCACCAAAATGAGAGAAATAGAGTGAGGTTGAGAGTTGCCAAAGAGGGGATGATTCCTCCTCCTCTATTGTTGTAAATCTTGTACTCTCCCTACATAATGCAATGGCTTCTCCCGTGGATGTAGGCGGTTTTGCCGAACCACGTTAAATATTGTGTCAGTGTGCTTGGCCTCCTATGAGCAAATATCAGTACATCACCGGTCAGAATTCCCAACAATGTTGTCCTTTATGTTAGAAAAAATAATAATTTAGTTTGAAAGAAAAAACCAGCAAAAGCTAGACATGCCTGATCTCCCTTTTTCTTTGTTTTTTTATTTTATTTATTTATTTTTAAATTAATACCTTCTCTTTTATTTTTTTAAGTTATTTAGTTTAATTTTTTTATATAGTAATTAATCTTTTATATATATTACTGTCACCAATGTCATAGACAAAAATGTTGCTCTGACTGTTCATTGCAAATCCGGGAACGATGTCGACCTCGGCGAAAAACTGCTCCAACATGGAGATCAGTCACATTTGATTTTTGTAAACATCTCTGGAAAAACGTTTTCTACTGTGGCTTTACATTTGATTTATTTTCTTTCTTGAGTGGTGTGAAAAATACTTTTTTCTAATTCCCTGTAAACTTTATTTTCTGCAATAAAATATCAATTTCTGTCAATTCTTTCTGTTGGCTATTTTTTTATACTGAATTTTAGATTTGGTAAACTTGGTTCTTCTTGATATTGCCTGGCATTACACAGTGTTTCAAAATGATCAATACCAAATGAAAGTGTTGGATCACGTTGATATTTTTATTTTTATTTCCAGCTTGCCCCAGTCGCTTCGCTTATCAAGACACAATGCATCTAGCTACTGTAAACAAACGCAGATAGTTAGTCTTGGAAACTGGTGAATGGTTTCAACGTTCAAATTAACCATGTCAATAAATAGTACAAGCATCTTATATAAGCACAATATATTATGGTTCATGCTACGATAATAGATCAAAGATGCCGGTACGGAAGCACATGCAAAATCACCGCGTCGCTCATATTATAATCCATCGCAATGCAAACGCACAGCTTGCAGTATAAATAGGACCTTGCAGAAAAGGCTTGAATGTACCCTTCCATATATATACATATTGTTGTAAAGGCAAAGGCAAATTAGAAAGATGATGAGAAAAGAAACTCTGTTGGTTGCTTTGACATGGTTCCTGGTGGTTGCATCCATTACCATGTGTGCAAATGCAACAGCAGGTGCTCGTCTGCTGGCATCCGAGCAAGTGGACTATCCTCAAGGTAAACTAAATTTATCGTGCTTCACGGGTCATTTGATTCTGTTTGTCTTAAACCTGTTGCACTGATGTGAGCCATGTATAATTCATGAAATTTTGAAGGTTGTCGCTGCTGCTTCTTTGTCGGAAGGGTGCCGTACATGAGCTGCGGAAAAGTGTGCTGCAGCAGCCCCGCAGGAGAGAACTGTTGCATCGCAACATAACAAAACAATGAGGTTGTGGGTATGGCAGCATCTACGTGCTTGCTTACATTGTCTTCTGTTGCAGACGAAATAAATTTACTACATGCTGCAAATAATTTGAGGAATATTGGAGCGTCATTCTGCTAGCTAGATGCAGAAGTTGTTCACTCTTCATTTACCTTCCTGAATGAGAGGCTCTATCATTTATAATTTTACCTTTTTGTAAGAGTTTACCCTATTAATAATGAAGACCAAATGCAAGGTGAATTTCCACTGGGAGGTCTCATCACATATAAAATGGTTTAATGCTTTATACTTCCCAAATTATCCCTTCTCCAAAATTTTATAAAATTTGAAGACGAAAAGTGGTTTGAAAAATCCCCCCCCCCCCCCCCTTTTTTTTTTTCAAAGAATGCTAACCTACCTCAGAAATTAGACAATTTTTTCAAAGAATGCTAACCCACCTAAGAAATTAGACAACCAAGTAGAAAATGATAATTTTAAGAGCATGGGCCGGTGGGGGACATTGCAGAAATTTAAAATAGAGGAAAAGAGAACGATAATATTTGATAATTTAATTATATGTGTATATATTGCATTAATTAACTCATGTATAGAGTTTATATACAATCATACAACAAGATATAAATTTAAAAACCTACATGCTTAATCAGCCCAAAACAGAATCATACAATTTTTATAATTCACAAGTTACTAATTAACAAACACAATTAACTTTTTTCTTTTTTCTTTTTAATTTTTAATTTTTTTCAATGAAATTTTTTTTCTAGATTAAGTATATCAACTATAAAGACCTTTAATTGCAATGAGTTTGAGTAGACTTTTAATGTTGATTGTTTTCTCATTAAATCTCTAGAGCTTATTAATGTTTCTTTAGTAGGTATGTTCATGCTAAAATGAGAGATGATTTTGAAGCAAAATCATAACATTCAAGGATGGAGCTGCGCTAAAAGTTCAAAAAAGGCGTTAGTGTCTTGCGATGGCCTTAAATCTCTATTTATACCAAGCAAGCCACATGCTCGGTAGAGTTGCAAAAAAAAGGCTTGTTGATATATATGGGAAGAGTACACAACGGGGACGCTTTCTAAACATTTAGGGGATCGAAGAAGAGAAGAGAAGAAAAGCTACGGGAGTCGACTTTCCCTTTTGAAAGAAAAAGTGGGGTAACTTACTGATTCATCGAAGTTCCACTTCGATTCCTGTAGATTTCAATTTTTGAATATCAACCTTGTAATTTTAGAAAGTTTCAACCTGGCTCCAAGCATTCAATAGTAAACGAATATTGATGGAGAGCTCCTTTTCTTTTTCTTTTTTACATTTTCCATGTTATTTTGTTCCATGAAAGTTGTATGCTCGTGATAAATATATCCCAAAAAAACTAAAATAAATGTATTTGAAAACGGGGTTCGTCGAACCTCTTGGAAACTAGAATATTGTTCAAGTTATAGGAACTAAAATCCTAAAAAGTACTTTTGCAAGAATCAAATGTTATGAAATGCAAGAACATACTTTCAAAGAAAAAGGAAAAAATTAAAAAGGCATGGTGATCTTGTGGTGGATTATTTTTTGTTCCTGCATAATTATATTATAAATGTAAAACCCGGTATAAAGTTAATTTAAATCAAGATTCAGGTCATGGATTTAAAAAAAATCAACTAAAATCAATTTTTATTTTAAAAAAAATTAAAAGTCGTTGTTTCAAACATTATTTTTTAAAAAAAAATCAATGAATTTAGATTTGAATTTTGATTATATCAATGAATTAACCTAGGTTTTTAATTAAATCATTCAATTTTTTACTTTTAAATTTTTTTTTAACCTAGACTAGACTCCAGATTAATCCAGTTCTCGATTACTCTTAGACCAATTTAAATTTTGCAGAATACATATATCATATATGGTCAGGCCCGTTACATAGATATAGGCTACAAGATTCATTATGCACAGAAAAATAACAATACGGACAAAGTGAAACAAGTCATTTACATTACAATAAATTAAAAAAAAAATAGAAAATCGTTTACATGAAGCTTAGCATTCATGATCAGTTGTTTACTTATGTAGGTTTAACTAAGCCCCCTTTTTTTGAGTAATTAATGGCCAGCTTGAGTTAGTTAATTATCAATTAATCATGTTGCTGATTGCATGTATCTTGTTTGTCAATATTTCTCCAATCAAGACTCGAATGAGTGCGATCCAACAATATCACTAACCTTCCGAAACGATTCTTGTTTTGTTGTATGAGAATTTATGGCTTCTTTTTATTTTATAAGTGGCACTTTACCTAACCTGGCGAAATGATTTTTTTAATATATTTTTTTTTTTACAAATTTGTGACTAAAAATTTAGTCATGAATTCCCATAAAAAAAAATCAAAATTCTAAATCTGTGATTGGTTATAAATCTTAAAACAATTATGATCGAGTTCAGTAACCCATGTTTTTTTAATAAATGTTTTTGGTTACAAAAACGCATCTGTGACAATTTTTTTGCTATTTTTGTGGTTGGTTTTCTAGTGATCATATTGCGGAGTCATTATCAAAGATTATCTGTTTTTCTTTTCCTGGTTGCATATAAGAATGGTTTTTTTGAAAGAAAAAAAATACTAAGGGATGCCAAATTTCAGGAGACGATGATATCACCTAATTCACAAAGAATATTCTTTCGGAAAAACTTCATGAAGAAAACTGGTAAAAGATTCAAGTAATTAAACATTCCCAGGGATTGATTCATAATTAATATATATGTTTTACTTGCAATAAGTAGAAGTTATTGCAAAAAAAAAAAGAAAAAAAAACGAAAGAAAGCAAAGCACATGCATGATATTTATTTATAATCATGGAGCCATTTTTCTAGTTAAATTAAGTGATTTTGCATGCTCGAGCATCGAAAAGAGAAAAGAAAAATAATCTTCTGCTCTCCTTACGATCCAAGGTTTGATTTGACCCAAAATCTTTCCCTTCAGATGTATGTGCCTCAAGAGTACTTGTAGGACCGTATATTACAATCAAGAAATTAGATCAAGATCATAATATATATAGCAAATATATATTTAGTATTGATCAGGCCACAAGAATGCACCCATCGCATATGCCCTCTTCTCCTCAAGATTGCCCTTGAAACTTATCCCGTATTCTCCAAGCAACATGTCCACCTTCCACTCCTCCATCTTCTCATAATCAGCCTTTGTGTAACGAGGGTAATGAAGAGGCATTTGAAATCCTGTGCAAGGATTCATTTCCAGCCTTGAATTCTTGATCATGACTCCACTTGCATGCTCATTAGAGCACCCTACAACTTTGTTACGTGACTGCATGTTATTGTCTTCGTTAGGGTACCCTAAGACATGACATGCTGAGTGAACAAGCCATCTCAAAGCCGCCATCGATCTCCCTTCCTCTCTCCTTCTCTCTTTCTCCTAGGAGAGAAATGTTTCCTTGAATTTTAAAGCAAGGTGTGGAAGGATGTACCATGTCTATATATACAGGGGTTAGGCATAAGAAACGACAACACTTTGCCCTAATAAATGCATTCGGCGAAATTTAGTAAATTAAGAATCCCATACGATTGCTCTTGAGTTATTGTTTTATGGTGATTTGGGATGCCAGCGTAGGCCATTAGTTTTCTTGCTGAGGTTATGTGTCTATTTTTCTTACACCTATATTTGAGTTGCGTGTCGATGATATTTTAAGGTGTTTGATGTCATCATCAATAATGCTGTGTAACTTTACATGCAAGTTTTCCAAGACCCACTACATGCCTAATCAATTGGAGTGTGACTCATCATATTTATTTATTTATTTATTTATTTATTTATTGAGCCATTTACTGGCCTTGCTAGGCACTTGGTTATTCAAAAATTAAGATGGGTTTAAATTAAGATGGGTTTAGAGCAATTCCAAAGGTTTCCTACCTGGAAAGATAAAAATAAAACAATAAAAAATATTATTTTGATTTTTAATGCTTATTTTACATGGTTCTTCAAAGGTAGTGCTAAATAAAATATTAAAATAAATAAGGCTGATAAAAAATAAATCAATTAAATAAATTCATATAAAAAAATAACATCAAACTCATTAAAATAAAATAAAGCATTTATGTCTCTCTCTCTCCAATGCAATTTACTTTTTAAATAAATTTTTATTATTAAAGTATATATAATGAAAAAATCATATTTATATTATTCAAAATGATATTGTACTCTTCGTAAAAGCACCTTCCCTGGAGATGCTGTTAGTGTCGCCAATTAAGTATGGATACAAATATAAGAGGACAAAAACCTCAGTCAATAATCCAGCTGCGGGTCCTGAAATTCATGGTGTCTTGGACTCAGTGGTTTACGCGAAAGCTTATTTATTGTAAACCATTCTACAAGTTTCCATGTATTGCATTGTTTAGGTGCTTAGATGGGATATTTTTGGTTAGTGACATGTGTTTTTTTCTAAAATATCGGTAAACTAAAAGAGTTTAATTTGTTTTTATGAAATAACATAGTTTATACATATAATAATTGAAAAATCTAGTATTCAAATTTATTGTTATTTAGAATCATAATATTTCAAAAATATTATGAAATGAACTACATAAATTATAATAAAAAGAGAGGAGAAAACAATAAAAAAATTTAAAGATATATTAAATATCTAACTATGACACCATCAATATTAATGGAAAGATATAAATGAAATGAATTCAATAATACCAAGAAAAATCATTAATAGTAACCCAAGTGTGTTATTATTTTTTTGATATTGTTAAATTTATTTCATTGAGATATTTTTTATGATACAAGTAATATTATAGTTGGAGTTTTAATATGTTTATAAAATTTATTTTATTTCTTTTTTCTTGCCCCTAATGTAATTCGTGAAGCTCATTTCATATATTATTTTCTTAAAATATCATATTTATAAATGGTGCAAGTTTAAATGCCATGGTTTTTAATCATAACATGTATAAACCATATTATCTCATCTATTTTTTAAAATTGTGTTCTTTATCAATATTTATAAAAAAAATGCTAATTTGAAAAAAAAATTGTTTAGATGTTACTTCAAATTTGTTTTATATTTCAAGTTAGATTTTAAAATGATCATCATTAAATGAATATTAAACTAATGTCCTCAAAGTATGGGTTGTCAATTTAGAAAAATAATTTAAAATCTTGAAAGACCCTATCAAAAACCTACATACAGTTCATTGACTATTTATTTTTTAAACAAGAATATTATTTTATTTTATAAAAAAATTAAGGGTTAATCCGAGACAACACGATAATTCTATTAAAATCTAGTGATTTAATCAAAACCTGTGATCTCTAGTTGACTATAGAGTTAGATTTAAAAATATATATTTAAAACTTGTAAAAGGGGATTTAGATATGTTTCTTAAAAAAAAAAACAAAAGTGAATTTTGTTTGAGTATGTAAAAATGGAATAAAAGGTATGTTTATCTTTAAAACTACAAGAAAAGCAAAAATCAATCTGGTTGATTTTGCAAAGTAAAAAGTTAGAATTATTGCTTATACTGGAATGCGGGCTGAGCAGTCTCTAAAGCCCAATTGTGGAATTCCGAATGCACATATCTATTTGATTTTTAACTGGATTTCAATTGAGTTAACTTTTAATACTGTATAAAAAATGGTTCCAAAATATCATAATTAATATATAAAAAAAATAAAATTTTGATTCAAAACATTGATAATGTGAGATTAATCCCACTCAGAATTTTGGAATGGACCCTCTACAAGTTTTTTTTTTTAATTATTTTTAAAGGCCCACTAAAGTGATGAGAGATGCATTTTATAAATTGTCTAAAAAAAGATTTAATTTAAAGCACACACGCTCACTGAATGGCCACGCGCTTCAAGATTAAAATCTACGAACATGACTGGCCCTATGGTCCAACCTTATCCCTGCACGAATGAACCTCGAGGTGTGCAGTGTGTGCCATATGCCCTAAATGCTGCCAGTCTACCTGGTTCCGAGCTTAGAGGGTGTTTTTACCTGTGTTTTGATATATTTTAAAAGATAATGTTAAGTTAATATTTTATTTTGTGATATTCTCTATTTATTAACGTTAAAAATAAAATAAAAATTAATATATTTTTAAATAAAAAATATTTTATATCACGACACAAAATTCAAGTGTAATCGAGCTACTGAATTAGAGACCGGGGCAGTACTGGGAGGGAGTGCAGCCTTCTGGGGAGAGGATCTGTATTTAATTGATAGTGTTGATTAACATTAACGAAAATAAAAGAATTCCATGAAAATCAATCAATTGATTAAGAAAAATAAGCAGCAAACTAGAGAGTGGCTGGCAAAATTAAGTACACAGATTAGATTTAATTAGCTACTCGTTGGATTAGCTTAGAAAGTTGCCTTTTCCATATATTTTGATCATGCGGAGTTCGACTGGATATGATGTACTGATAAATGTTTTTTTATTCGACAATATGAAGTTTTTGTGCATTGATTTGCGCATCAATTGAACGTAAATATGTTTAAAAAATCCATTTAACTTAAAAGGTTAGTGATGGATCATATTTTTCATTCCCAGAAAAAAACTCATTTAGGAGTATGGAATGAATCTCTAGCAGCTGCTCGGCTCCGGCAAAATAATAAGATTTAAGAATTATAAATACTTTATTAATTATAGATAAATAATTTATAATTTTTTTTTATTTTCAACATTTATATATATATATATATATATATATTAAATATTTTTTTATAAAATATTATTATACTTTCTTTCTCTTTCTCATTATAAAAATGTTTACTTATATATTTGAAAGTCTCCTAACCTAGTATAAAGAATCTTTTGTATATACATAACATTTAATATTAATCTATATCCATTTTAGCTAAAGAGAGTGAAACAAATTACAAAAATAAAAATGATTAATTAATTTAACTACCCACACGAGTTTTATTCTTAAACATCTTAGATTCTAAAACATCATTAATTAGGATATTAAATAAGATTTCAAAAGCTTTTTGAATTTAAAAATTTGATAAAATTAATCATCATCTTATACTTTAATTTATTAAACACTGTTCCCGTATTGTGATAACTTATACTTTTTGCATTGTACCCTGCATATAATTACATCTTAAATCTTGATTTTGTAGAAGCAAATATAACTTGTTTTTTATTTATATAGACTCATTTTTTATTTATTTTACATATAAAAATTTATCTCATAAAATTTTTAACTAAACACATTTTTTAAAATTTATTTTGTAAAATTATAACTGAAAGATATTTTTAAAAAAATATGATCATAAAAACTACTATCATGTCAAATACACACTTAATGTAAAAAAAAAATGATGTAGTAATCATCTAAACACAAATGGTTCTATTATCATGTAAAAATGAATACTTCAACCTAAACTTTCAAGAGTTTTTAGGACCCTGCACAAAAAAGAAGAAGTAAAACAACACAGATAAAAAATATATTTAAAAGTCTAGTATATTTCTGAAGTCACAAGCATCATCTGCATACAATAAAATAACATGCACGCCAACCCTAGCTCTTTACCGGAAAAAACCACAATTTACATACCGGCAAAGTTTTTTCAGCAACAATTTGCCAGTTTTTCAGTCACAACTCAATCCCAACTAAAACAATTAATTAATCATAAAATACAACTACATCCATATCATATAATGTAATCAACACAAAACTTCAAGCTTTAAAAATAATTTTATATTATTTTTTAACAAATAAAATGGGATATACATGGCGCTCTCATTTTTCTAACCACTAAACATTTGCAAAGAAAATCTTGTTTACAGTTACGAGGCACAGAGAGACAAACTGATGAAGTTGTGGATGGGTGGTGGAGCAGGGGTGGCGCCACCAGAGTGGTGGACAGACAGGCAAGTCAATAATAAATAACGCCGCTCTTGAAAAGCCATCATTTCTTGCTTTTCAATGGATATCTGTGTCTGACTTGTGTCTTTCTCAATTCTATAAAAAGTCTTTCCCTCCTTTCATTTATTCCTTAATTATACCTCTGCTTCTTTAGATTACCGCTGCAAAGCTTCTGTCCAGTATTAATTACTGGCTACCCTTAATTAATAACCCTAGCGATTGCCTAATTCAACAATAATTTCTGAAAAATAATAAAACTTTACCCCTCTCATCCACTGCAAACTGCATTCGTGTCACGTTCACTTTACCTGCAAACATTTTTCAATTCAATCCAGTGGTCTCACTTGAATCCATATTATGCTAATTCCATTGTTCTCCCATTTTACGGGTTGATCGGGTGGTAAATAATTGAATTTGATCACGTTAATTTCTAATTCAATTCAATATAAAATATAATCTTCATCAATTATGAATAATGAGTCATTAAAGGTGCATCGGGTTATAGATTAACTAATAACAAGACAAAATTGCATAATTAATCCAGCTCCATAGCATAATTAATTATTATTTTTTATTAATT